TCTGATTCCAATCACCAGTAATTATCAACATATCTTGATTGCATTTTCGATCAATTAAGACTACAGAAGCTGGTAAAAATCTTCAATTTCTTCATCTTTGGCATTAGTTTGGTACATAAATTTGATTAATAGTCAAATTAACTCGTCTTTCTCATAGGCATATAGATATTATCCTGTCACTGTCAGCCTTATATTTTAGGAAAGATTTTGAAATGTTCTTTTTGACAGTGAATGTGATACCATTCCTCTTCAGTTTGTCATTCCTGACATAGTAGACCATATGATTGTCCTATTCAAAATGGCCAATACCAGTCGATTTCAAGTCACTTATGCCTAGGATATTGATGTTTATGTGTTCCATCTCATTTTTAAATTCTCAGGTACTAACATAGTTAATGAATCAGGAAATTTCTGAAGCTGCATGAACCAAGCTCTTATCTCTCAAAGCTGCAGGTCTGATGTGGGTATAACTGCAAAATAGCCTAATTCTATGGATTGATGAATAACAAAATAAGTTGAATCAACAGTCTTGCCAAACATCTTGAATAAAATTTAAGGTATTATTTGGAAAAAGACACTTGAGAAAAGTTATAGTTACTAGTGGGTAGATATGGGTGAATCATAATTCTCTGATTCTCCAAACTACACAGAGAATTCAGTGCTACCCAGGTTGCACATTTTTACCTGTCGATGAGACAAGTCTTCCTCTGAAGACCGCGTCAGCTTTTCCCTAAAGTATATATGCTTTGCAAGAGGATTATTACTGTCCTCATGGTTTATTTCCTTCTTCTCTTTACCACAACACTGAGATCTAGAGTCAGTCCCAGGGTGCTGCAGACAGACAAATGCAAGTTTGAATAAGAGAAAGATTATGGTATAAAAGTAACTGCAAAATGTTTCTAATTTTATTGTAAAAACTTAGAGACTAAGTCAGACAATGACTTCTATGAGTGCCAGTTCACGGAACAACAAACCAATTTTAGAGTATGGTGAGTATTATGACGGAGTTCATTAACAGAGATTTTGGGTTCCACATGCCAGCTCAAGCAAATGGGCCTAGTTCTCAATTTTTTCTATTAGTTAATCAAAGCTTGCACTTTACTGCAGCCTGCTCTAAAGGAAGTTCAGTGACATAAACCTCTCATTGTAATGTAGGTAAGAAATTCAAGGTGCAAAGGGAAAGGGATGCTGTGGATTTATCATGTATGACTTAATTACCTACCTCCCAAATAAGCATTAGGAAGGGGCTCAGAGGCCATTATATTTACCAGGAGATTGAGAAATGCATTGGTGAGGAGTATAGCAGCTTCCTCAGAAAGCTCTGTAGAGGTTGTTCTCTGTATGACAGAGTTAAAATGGGAGATGCTGAAGTTGAGACAGGCATCTCCTGATTACATTGGAGATAATGACATCCTGAACTGGCAGCACTAAACCATGAGAGGTATGATATTCAGGGTTAATGTAAAAGAGAGCAGACCCAGCATGTTAACCTGTATAGATTAAACAACAGGTAGTTTTAGTAATGGAAAGCTGTTCATACTATTTCCATGAGTGAAAAAAAATGTGGGGAATATTATATAAAACCAAAGACAAAAACAAAAACAAAAACAATAAAAACCAAAACTCACTGCCATTGAGTCCAATTCGACTCATAACGACCCCTCCTTGGGTTTCTGAGGTGGTATCTCTGTGGAAGTAGATTGCCCAGTCAGTTCTATCCAATCTGTGAAATTAAAAATACTCTAGTTACAGTGAAAAGGAATTTGACTTGAGGCACCAAAGTGAAGCTTCACTATCTCTCATTTGGTTCTCAGATCTGAAACTTCACAGTGACACAGACCCTTCATGTGGTGAGGCCAGTTAACCTAATGGATAGAGTATGAAACTGCCACAAATTTTTATTTCTGCTATAAACTTTATTCTCTTTCTTTTCTTGCCTCCCTCTATGTATGTTTATTTCTCTCTCTCTCTCTCTCTCTCTTTTTAGAAGGAACTATGTATTTACCAGAGCTCTAGTATTCAAAGGACATTATGACCCTTCACCTGAACATTGTGAATCAGTTTAAAGGAAATAACCAGATCACTTTTATGAAATTTAGACACTTTCAATGAGCTGACCTAATCCCCAAAGTCCACTGTATCTTGGTGTGTTATACTGGGTTATCTAGAAAAGCGAAACCAATAAAGCTTATACACACAGAGAGAAAAAGAAACTTATCTTAGGAAAATGGTTCACACACTTATAGAAGCTGGCAAGTCCCAAGTTCTTGGATCAAACATCACACTGGAGGCTTTTCTCAACTCACCCAGCTGCAGGGGCTGATGAGCTCAAAGTTGGCAGGCAGTATACAGGGTGTTGACCCCAATGAATGACAAATCTAAGATCTCCAGGCCGAATGGTGGATTGTTTGCTCACGGACAGTTGTAGGCAGCACACCAGGATCCCAATCTACAGAAGAGTGTCTCTTTTTCCCAGGATGTCCATAAATATATTAGAAGCAGGCCACACCCTTAGGTAAACTCCCTTTCAACTGATTGGCTGCTCAAAACATATACATCCAATCTCATCATGGAAATAACCCACATCACAACTGCTTAAACCACACAGAATTGTGGTCCAGCCAAGTTGACACACAATTCCAATTATCACACTTGCTGAACAAAAAATTGGAAATGACACAGTTGGCAATTTACAGAATACTCATATTAATTTTATGATATAAAAGTGATGCTCTTATGGTAGGAACCATAAAGGAATGTCTTCTAATATTATTCCTGCCCACCAAAATATCTTTTAAAAAGTAATAATGTAATCCCTGAATAAATCAGAGAGATTAGTGACAATAACAATATTTGATGGAACAGAGATGGTAATTTCTATTACTTTTCCTATTAATTTATATTTTGGGCTATGCAGAAGAAGATTAGATCTTGGAGAGTGAATGTGGATTATTATAAACTTAGTCAAGTGGTGACAAGTAATGTTTCTGCTAATCCAGATGTGATCTCTTTCTGGAGTTTAGTTAAATAAACCCAGGCAAGCTGAGACCAGTTTTTGATATGACAAATTATATTTCTCCAAAAGCAGATGTTCCAGTGGTGATTATGTTTGTGTGCCAATTTGGCTGGGCCTGGTTGAGTGGTTAGGCAGCTAGTGGTAGTTATTCCCCGTGATGAGACTGGCAATCAACTCCATGGTGGAATCTACCACAGGCAGCTGAGTAGCTGCCTTTGGGATGTGGTCTGCTATATAAGCAGAAGCCTTGGGGAATGGTCTCTAGCTTATGGCACCTTGAACGCTGCATGTAGCCATGTCATTGTTCAGCAGCCTGCCATGCTCTGCTGACCTTGGGACTTACAATGGACTTAAATTAATGGCCTGCCATGTGGTTTGGTAACATTGGGACTGTGCCTTTGTTCTTGTTGACCTTGGGCTTGTTAGCCTCAGCAGCCAGTAGCTGCCTGAGTTAAGAGATGCCACTAGCTTCAGTGGGCTGGGGGCAAGAGGCAGAGCTGAAGCCCAAGGTCGAGGGGCTTTCACACAGCCCCTAGAGCCTGGCACTTTGAACTTGCACTTAAAGCCTCCAAACTGTAAGAGAATAAGCAACTGTTTTTAAGGCCATCCCATTTGTGGTATATTCCTGTCAGTGGCACTAGGGAACCAGAACATTGTGAAATACAAAAGGCAGTCATTTTCAACCGACAGAGACAGTAATTCACCTTCATTCCTCCAGCTCTTTATATAATTTTATAAGTACCTACTTTCTGGTATTAAACACTTTACTGACAAAAAGTTATGTTGTCTATTCTGTTTTCTACTCCAAACTCATGGTACAAAGTCAGAAGGGTAGAAAAAGATACAAAAATCAACAAAACAATTGCTTATAATGTATGAAAATTGGGAATTCTGTTAGCGTAGTACCTAAGGCATTTGACTGCTAACCAGAAAGCTGGCGGTTCAAACCCACCAGCCACTCCTCACTGGAGTGGACAATCTACTTCCATAGTGATACCGCCTCAGAAACCCAAGGAGGGATCTCTATGAGTCAGATCCAACTTAGATTGATATTAGGAAAGAGGAAAGCTTGCATATTTTCTTTTTACTATGAACTGATAAAAATATCATTGCTTAGGTCTGCATAGTTTTTTTTTTTTTAATTTTTTATTGTGATTTGAGTGAAAGTTTACAGAGCAAATTCACTTTCCATACAGCAGTTCACACACATGTTGTCTCATGACATTGACTACAATTTACCACAATGTGACAGCTCCCGTCCCACTTCCTCCTCATAGTTACCTCTTTCCTGTGTCCATCCTTCCATGTACTCCTGCCCCCTGAATTGTCTCCCTGTGCATAAACGGCACTTCATTCTCCCATGATTGTTCTCTCCGAGGAGTGTATCTACCTAATGTAAATGTTCAACTCATATGCCTGTCTTTTGTTTGGCTGGAAGTCACAGGTGTGGGTTCAATTCCAGACCTGAAGGGCAGCTAGGAACTATAGTCTCAGTGGTTCCACCAGACTCTATCAGACCAGCAAACCTGGTCTCCCCCCCTTTATTCCCCCAAATGATTTTGACTTTTGTTCCACATTGTTCTCCCTCTCTATACAGGATCTCCTCCATATAACCCCCTCTGAGTGGTTGACAGTGGTAGCTGGGCACCATCTAGTTCTTCTGGTCTCATAGTTGTATAGGCTGAAGTTCACATGGTGAAGTTCACATGGTCATGAGGACTAATTGTTTCCATGAATTGTTGGTTTTCTTCATTCTTCTTTGCTCTGGACGAGGAGAGACCCACTGTTGCATCTAGATGGTTGCTTGCGAGCTTTTAAGATCCCGGTCACTACTCACAAAAGTAGGAGGTGGAACAATGTTTTGTGTAGTATGTTATGCCAATTGAGCTTGATGTCCACTGTGACTATGGTCCCGAGTAGGGCTGGATAGTTTTGAAGTCTGTTACTCATGAGTAATTCTCTAATTTTGAGGCAAATGATCCTGTTATGTAGATATTTTGCAGCTGAAGAGCTTTTTTAAGGCCTGCTTTATGTCCTTGTTCCTAAGACTGTAGATAAATGGGTTCAGCATGGGTGTGACCACAGTGTACATCACTGAGGCTATTGCTGTTTTCCTGGAGTTTTGAGTAGCAGCAGAACTAAGATACACTCCAAGAAATGTACCATAGAACAAGGAAACTACTGAGAGGTGAGACCCACAAGTGGAAAAGGCTTTATACTTGCCCCCAGCTGATGAAATTCTCAAAATAGAGGATACAATCTTAGAGTATGACAGTATGATACCAATGAGTGGAATAATAACCAGAAACCCATTTGCAATATACATCACTAGGTCATTGAGGAAGGTGTCAGAACAAGCAAGTTGGACCACCTGATTAAGTTCACAAAAAAAGTGGGGAATTTCCAACTCAGTACAAAAAGACAGCCTCAAAATCATTAAGTCATGTAATAAAGAGTCCAGGACACTGAATAAATAAGATTCCAGAAGCAAGAGGCCACAGATTTTGGAGTTCATGATGACCGTGTAGTGCAATGGGTGACAGATGGCCACAAACCGGTCATAGGCCATCACTGTCAAGAGGAAGTTGTCTAATCTTCCAAAAACCATGAAAAAATATATCTGGCTGAGGCAGCCTTCATAGCTTATGACTTTGCTCTGCATCTGGATGTTCAGCAGCATCTTTGGAACAGTGGTGGAGGTGAAACAGATGTCTGCAAAAGAGAGATTGGAGAGGAAGAAGTACATGGGTGTGTGGAGCTGAGAGTCAGTGACAATGGTCAAGATGATGAGCAGATTCCCAATAAAAGTGACCAGGTACATGGACAGAAATATCCCAAAGAGGAGAGGCTGCACCTCTGCTTCTTCTGAGAGTCCAAGGAGAATAAATTCTGAAGCATGTGTTTTGTTTCTTGGTTCCATGTAGCTGATGAAACTTCTGGAAAAGAGATAAGAATAATGCAAATTAGGTACAAGCTGTGAGCAAGTACTTAACAGATGTGTTGTTGTTTATACTTAAACACATTCAATTAATTAATAAATATATTATCAATAGATCTATTGTCCTTTCCCTGAAAATTTCATGGAATCCCAACTGCACCATCTTCTCCTTGATGCTCAAACTGACTAGCCACTCAAGACAATATTTTTTCCTAAGATTTTTTTCTGAGGCATTCTTTTATTCACCCATAAAATATTTTTTGACCATTTAATTGGTTCCAAGTATCACTGAAGTCATTGAAAAACAACAACAACAACAACAACAACAATGAATTAAATAAAATAATGCCAGGTAAGAAAGTCATGGTGTGAGGAGGAAATGCTTTTTATATAGTCACCTCTGGTAAGGAGCTCTTGGGCAGAAAATCTGAAAGCAGTGAAGACAAGCTTATAACTGTAAGAAAAACATTTATGGCAAAGAAATAGGCAGTGTCCTCAAGTTTGGAGTATTCCTGGCACCAACAGGAAACAGCCAGAAGAACATGTGACTTGCTTGGGTAATACAAATGGGCTTTAAGATGGAGGTCAGATCAGAGAGGTAGCAGAAGGCCAGAGCTGCTAACATATGGGATCTCAAAGTTCAATTGTTATTCTTCCCATATGTATTTTATATATTGTGTATATTACTGTATATATAACATACAATGTACATAAAACAAACATAATTAATCCCTCCATAAACTGCACTTTATCTTCTCCAACTCTCATTTTGTCTAAAATCTGCATTTACATTATGGAAGACAGCTTCAGCTTGAAATATGATAAAACTACTTTCTCTTCACTCATAAGTTTTCTAACTCTCTACACACCCACCTAAAAACCCATTACCACTGAGTTGATTCTAATGCATAGCGAACCAAATGGAGAAAATACTGAAGGTGTCAGGGATTTCATTTTACTTGGATCCACAATCAATGCCTATGATAACAGCAGTCAAAAAATAAAATGGCATATTGTGCTGGACAAATCTACTGCAAGAGACCACTTAAAAGTATTTTAAAAATTAAAAAAGTGTTAAAAAAAAACCATATTAAGGACTAAGGTAAGCCTAACCCAAGAGATTTTATTTTCAGTCACCTCATATGCATCTGAAAGCTGGAAAATGAGTAAGTAAAATTGACGGATAATTGGTACCTTTAAATTATAGTGTTGGTGAAGAATACAATGGAGTGACAGAAGAAAGAACCGTTGTCTTGAAGAAGTATAACCAGAATGCTCCTTAGAAGCATGGATGATGAGACTTCATGTCACATACTTTGTACATGTTATCAGGAGGGACTAATCCTTGGTGACAGACATCATGTTTGGTAGAGGGCCAGTGAAAAAGAGGAAGAGCCCCAGGGAGATGGATTGACACATGGCTGCAACAATGGACTCAAATATACTAACGATTTTGAGGATGATGCAGGACAATACAGTGTTTTTGTTGTTGTTGTTGTAGATAGGGTCTTAATGAGTTGGAACTGACTCGATGGCACCTAATAACAAGACACATCCACCTACTGATTCCACACACAAAAAATCAAGTTTGTGTTATTGTTTATGTGTCAATCTAGAACATTGCATATGATTAGCCATTCAGTTTCACTGTCATCTGAGAATTGAGTTTTATAATCCAGGCATCCCATTTGCTAGCTAAAGCTTTGGAGAGCTCAAAGACAAGGTCAGCCCCAGGTCAAGGATTGATGTGGTTATCTTATGGCATGTGTATGGAGGACAAAGAATCAGTCTACACATGTTGTTAGGGGCTGTAGAGTGACACCGACTCATAACAATCTTATATACAGCAGAATGAATCACTGCCTGGTCTGGAGCCAGCCTCACAATGTTTGCTATACCTGAGCTCATTGTTGCAGCCACTATGTCAGTCCATCTCATTGAAGGCCTTCCCCTTTTATGCTTACCCTCCACTTTACCAAGCATGATATCCTTCTCCAGGGATTGGTACCTTCTGATAAAATGACCAAAGTAGATGAGATGAAGTCTCATTATTCTCACTTCCAAGGAGCATTCTGGCTGAACTTCTTCCAGGACAGATTTGTTCATTTTTCTGACAGTCCATGGCACTTTGAGTATTCTTCATGAACACCACAAATCAAAAGCATCAACTCTTCTTTGGTCTTCCTTATTCATTGTCCAGCTTTCACACTCATATGGGGTGATTGCAAACACTATGTCTTGGATTAAACATACCTTACTCCTCAAAGAGATGTCTTTGCTCTTCAGCACTTTAAAGATGTCTTTCACAGCAGATTTGCCCAGTGCAATACATCATCTGATTTTTTCACTGCTTCTTCCATAGGTGTTGATTGTGGAAACAAGCAATATGAAATCTTGGACAACTTCAATATTTTCTCCATTTATTGTGATGCTGCTTATTGGTCCAGTTGTGAAGATTTTTGTTTTCTTTATGCTGAGATGTAATCCATACTGTAGACTGTAGTCTTTAATCTTCATCAGCAAGCAAGGTCGTGTTGTCTGCATATCTCAGGTTGTTGTTAATGAGTCTTCCCCCAATCCTAATGCTGCATTCTTCTTCATATAGTCCAACTTCTTGGATAGTGATGAGAGCCAGGGAAAGGAGAGAAAATCCAGGACAGAGTGAGGAGCATGGCAGGGATCCAGGTAAGGGGTGGGATGCAGGCCCCACCCCCAAGTGGCAGGAAAGAGGCAGGGATCTAAGTAAGGGGAAGGTGGAGAGATTTTGAACAGCTAAGGGAGACAAATTTGACAGAAGAGACTGAAACTTGCCCTTGAGTGGAGAGTAGCTAAAACAAATGGAAGAAATGACAAGAGCTGAACAGAAGATTTCAAAGAGCAGCTTGAGCAGGCAAAGCCAATTACTATAACAAAATGTCCAAAGACTTGGTGTTAGAAAACCAAAAGGGAAGAATACGCTTAGCATTTCTCAAGCTGAAAGACCTTAGGAAAAAATTTAAGCCTCGAGTTGCAATATTGAAAGATTCTATGGGCAAAATATTGAATGATGCAGGAAGCATCAAAGGAATATGGAAGGAATACACAGAGGCACTGTACCAAAAAGAACTAGTCCATGTTTATTCACTTCAGGAGGTGGCATATGATCAAGAACTGTGAGAGACAGACAACACAATTTTGCTTGCTGAAAGTGAGGATGACTTGAAGCACTTACTGATGAAGATTGAAGAATACAGTCTGTGGTATGGATTACATCTCAATATAAAGAAAACAAAATTCCTCACAACTGGACCTATAAGCAGCATCATGATAAATGGAGAAAAGACTGAAGTTGTCAAAGACTTTACATTGGTTGGTTCTATAACAAATGTCAATGGAAGCAGCCAGATGGCATATAGCACTGGGCAAGTTGGCTGCAAAGGACCTCTTTCAAGTGCTGAAGAGCAAATGTGTCTCCTTGAGGACTAAGGTGCACCTGACACAAGCCATGATATATTCAATCACCTCGTATGCATGTGAGAGCTGGATAACGAATAAGGAAGACCAAAGAAGAGTTGATGCTTTTGAGTTATGGTGCTGGCAAAGGATTCTGAAAGTACGATGGACTGCTAAAAGAACTAACAAATCTGTCCTGGAGGAAGTGCAGCTGGAATACTCCTTGGAAGTGAGAATGGCCAGACTTCATCTCACCTACTTTGGTCATGTTGTCAGAAGAGACTCTTCCCTGGAGAAGGATGTCATGCTTGGTAAGGTGAGGATCCATGAAAGAGGGGAAGGCCCTCAACGAGATGGATTGACACAGTAGCTGCAGTGATGGGATCAAGTATAGTAAGGATCATGGAGCTGGCATAGGACCAGGAGGTATTTCATTCTGCTGTGCATAGGGTCTCTATGAGTTGGAGATGACTCGACGACACCTAATAACAACAACAGGGACTATCAGTCATTACTAGTGGAAAAGCAGACTGGCACAGCCACTTTGGAAGACAATTTCTTACAAAACTTAAACATAATCATACCATACAATTGAGCTATTGTGCTCTTAGGTATTTATGCAAGTGAATTGAAAACTTATGTCCACATAAAATCTGCCTACAAATATTTATGGCAGATTTATTCATAATCTCCAAACACTGGAAACATCCAAGATGTTCCATAGGTGAATGTATGAACAGATTTTGATAAATATATACATTTCTTAATATTATTCACCAACAAAAATAAATGTTTTATATTTATCAATCCACAAAAAGACTTTGATGATCTCAAATGCTACTTGCTATGTGAAAGAAGCCAGTCTGAAAAGGCCATATACTGTATGATTACAATAATATGACATCTAGAAAACACAAAAATACAGAGCAAGAAAAAGATCAATGGTTGCCAGAGAAGGTGAGTTTAATAGGTGAGGCACAGGTGATGTTTAGAGTGGTGAAACAATTCTGTGTGATACTGTATTACAGATTCATTGCATTCTGCAATAGTAAAAACCAATGAACATTACAGCACAAAGAGTAAACATTAATATAGGTAAATTTAAGAAACTCATTTAAGAAGTTTAGGAATCCAAGAAAGAAATTCAGAATGTAAAAACAATCTAACTGTATTACCAATGTTTGAAATAACCCTGCTTGCAGGGGATGGGGTGGAAGATACTGAACTAAGCAATTCTGGTAACAAGTGGAGTCTTTAAAATGAAAGGCAAAAGAGTTTGTGCACAAATTCTGTACTCTAGTTGAGAGAGTTATACCCCTGGGAGGTATAAGTTAAACATTCTGATACTTCTATACTTCTATGTATACTGGAATTGAACAATTAGGTAAATGAATGGCAGATAGTGGGAACCAGGATTCTTATTGTTGGAGTGAGAGTTTACAGACAATCAAGAAGAGGAGGCTAGAATGATCTATGTGGCAAGAGATTAGTGTTGGACATATCAGTTTGAATTAAGTTAGTATAATATAGATGCAGATGGTTACAAACAG